TCAGTGGTTGAGCATTGACCTATGAACCAGGAGGTCACAGTTCGATTTCCAGTCAGGGCACATGCCCGGGTTGTAGCTTGGTCCCTAGTAGGGGGCGTGCAGGAGTCAGCCAATCAATGATTCTCTCTCATCATTGATGTTTCTCTCTTTCTCCTTCTCCCTCCCTCTCTGAAATAAATATATAAAAAAAGTTCTCTCTTTTTTAAAGTTTATTGGCTGTGCCTTTATTCAGTGTACCAGTTATCGTTGCTTTGTAAAAAGCCACCCCAGATACTCATTCTTTTGTGCTCACAGATCCTGTGGGTCAGGAATTCAAAAAGAGTAGAGTAGAGACGGTTCCATGATGTCTTGGGCATCAGCTTGGAAGACTCAAAGGTTAGAGATGACTCAACAGCTGGTGTTGAAATCAACTGGAAGTATCTTCATTTATGTGCTTCATGGGTTTTCCTGATAATTGGCTTTGATCTCAGGTGGTTTGTTGCCTGGAACATCTACAAATGTTCTCTCCATGTTGTCTCACTACCTGGGGTAGTTTGGGCTTCCTCACAGTATGGCTGCTGGGATCCAAGAGCAAGTGTTCCAAATGAATCAGGCAGCCAGGCTGGTGTGCCTCAGTGGTTGAGCATTGACCTATGAACCAGGAGGTCACCGTTTGATTCCCGTTCAGGTCACATTCCCAGGCTGTGGGTTTAATCCCCAGTAGGGGGCTTGCAAGAGGCAGCCAATCAATGATTCTCTCTCATCAGTGTTTCTATCTTTCCCTCCCTCTCTGAAGTCAATTATACACACACACACACACACACACACTAGAGGCCTAGTGCATGAAAATTCGTGTACTCAGGGTGGTCCCTCAGCCCAGCTTGTGCCCTCTCACAGTCCGGGACCCCTCGGGGGATGTCCACCTGCCAGTCAGACATCCCTCTGGCAGCCCAGGAGCCCTCGGGGGATGTCCGACTGCGGCTTAGGGGTGCTGGCCTAAACCGCAGTCAGACATCTTTAGCACTGCTGAAGAGGTGGGAGAGGCTTCCGTTACCGACACTGCGCTCGCAGCCGTCAGCTCAGCTTGTGGCTGAGTGGAGCTCCCCCTGTGGGAGTGCACTGACCACCTGGAGGCAGCTCCTGCATTGAGTGTCTACCCCTTGGTGGCCAGTGAACGTCATAGCGACCGGTCGTTCCACCATTAGGGTCAATTTGCATATTACCCTTTTATTATATAGGATTATTATATAGGATATATATATATATACACACATATATGTATGTATGTATATACACACACACACACAATATTTACATATTATAGAAATCGATGAGAGAGAAGCATCGATCAGCTGCCTCCTGCATACCCCACACTGGGGATGTGCCTGCAACCAAGGTACATGCCCTTGATTGGAATCAAACCCGGGACCCTTGAGTCCACAGGCCGACTCTGTATCCACTGAGCCAAACCGGTCAGGGCTATGCCTGGTTCTTTATAAAGAACCAGGCATAAGCTATATTGGCTTTTATGACCTAGCCTCAGAAGTCACACAATGATACTTATGCCAGAATCCATCTGCCATGATTCAAATGGAAGGATATACACCCCATCTCTTAATGGGAGGAATATCACAATATTGTTGTGGAAAGATCATGTAAGATGAGAGATACTGTCATGACCATCTTTGGAAAATAAAACCTGTCACACCTGGACACCTGAACACTACTAGAAAAAAAATGGAACAGAAAAAGTAATCCATAATTCGAACTCCAACTGAATCCTTGATACTACCTGGCAATCCTACATCATTTCTCTGCTGAACTTGCTTCAACTTGGCAATGGTTATTTCAAACCTCTGCTGTAATAGGCACTATGTATGTCTCACCTAATACTCATTTCTCACCCCTTTTTCTCTGTCCCCATCCTTTGAGGAGGTGAGAAAAGCTAAACACTCACTTTCCTAGCCTTTCTTGCATCTTTGTGACATAGTTCTGGTTAGTGAACTGGGGCACTTCTGGGAAAGCTCTTGCCTTGAAAAAGAACTAATGCATGGAGTGGAGGCAGCCAGCCGTACTGTGACCCTCAGGGAAAGCCCCTCACCCCCCATCCCCTACCTCCACTTTATTTTCCACAGATGACCTTCTCTCCTCCTTTACAGAAAAAAAAAAAAAAAAGTCTTCAGCTGGTCATTTTCTTGTGTTAACATAAGAAATATTCAAACCTGTAAAGAATTTTTGTGAGTGTATTTGATCCAAACTGTCCATAATTGCCTAGAAGCATGATCTCAACGTTAAGTAGGTTACATGAACTCCATTGGTGATAGATTAGGGAGGTGGGAGGAAGCAAAGTGGGGAAACCTCTGGGATTGGGTAAAAAGTAAAAGGATAGGCACTTCTTTTACACAGGTGGGTACAGGATAAATAATAGTCAACAATTAACAAGACAACAATAACAATGAGGGAGGTTTTGTGCTCTGCACCCTGCCCCCTGGCTCATAGCTCGCGCCCTGAGGGGCCTGGAAAAAAGGGGCGCTACAAGTTACCCTGACATTCCACAGGTATGTTATCTTAGATGCCTAAAGACCAATAGGCTCAGTAAAGATCGAAGATACTGGCCTAAGACTTTACTACTCATTATAAACTGATTTTTAATTAAAAGGTTTTAATTTCAGACCATCCTTTGTGGTTACTTTAGGTCTTAGTTTGCAAGGCCACTACACAGGCCTTCCCTGAGTTAGTCAGGTTGTTAACATGTGGCTCCTTTTCATCCACACTTGTCACCAAACCTACCTACCACCTGCTTGCATGCTATCCTGTTTCCTCCTTCCCTTCCATTATAATAGAAGAGGGGTCCCTACTCCATGGATGGGTGAGTAGGGGGAAAACAGGGAGATGCCAATCTTGCACCCATTTTCTCTTTCTCTTTCTGTTTTGGTTTTCCGACTCATGTTCTGGGCATCTGTCACTCATCAGCTATGTGGCCTAAACAGGCCATTGAAATAGCAAATACTTTATCCCGTGGATTCTAAGCCCAATAAAGGCCCCGCACTAGTTGTTGGGGCCTGCCAGGGCCAGGAAAGAGACCGCCCAAGGAGAGAAAACTATTTACAAGGCGGGGGAATGAAGCCTTCCTTGGAGGAAGTGCATCCCCATGTGGCTGGGAGAGCAGAGAGTAGGGAGGGCTGGAGGGGAAGGCGGGCCTGACTGAGGTCGCAAAGGTCTATGGGCCAGGCAGGGCAATGGTTTTGGTTTTAACCCTAAATCATTGGGACAGGAAGTGAATTAATCCCTCTGAGCCTCAATCTTGACTTCGGAAAACATGTTTCAGAACTGTGCTCAGATCTCAGTCTCCTATACTTGCTTCCGAGTTCCTTAAGGACAAAGACCTGTATTTCTTACGCATCTTTGCAACCACATGATAAGCGCTTAAATGCATGCCTGTCGGATGAATAAATGATACTGTGGAGTCCTCCGCAGACTTAGTTATTAAACCAACCCGTGAATACTCTCTTTCCTCTTCTCCTTCCCTCTCCCCTCCCACAGCCCCGCCCGGTATTTTTCTGGCTTCCCGCCCCGCCCCTACGCTGCGTCGCGAAGGCGGAGCGGGCGGGCGGGCTT